GTACATGACATAGAACCAAGATATAGATATAAAAGGATATGGGGTTTAAGTGAAGACTGTGAAGTTTCTCCTTTTGATATTAATGTAATAAAAAAACAAACAGCTTATGAAATCATTCTCTTTAATTAAAATCCATAGAGCATTGAACATGTAAAGATGTTTAAACTCTTTCAGTGACTCTTATATTTTAAAATCCTTTTGCACAGCATTGTGAGGCTAACTTCATGCTAGAAATCTACAAATGTACAACTTAACACAAAAATACATTCACAGTCCATTCCAATGCAAGTTTAAAACACTTTAATTGGCAGACAATGTAAAGATATTTAAAGAACAAAAACTACAAAATGAGCACATGAAAGTCTTCCCTTTTGAATTTTTAATAAAATACTGCTCTGTATAAGATCTAATGAAAAATTCCAGTTACTTATAAAAGTTATGTGTGAAAAGAAATGAATTAAGATATACATGTATATATGTATGAATTACACTTTCTTACATTGTTTAAATGAACACAATGTTGAACACTTTGATGACACAGCACACCATCTATTACTCATATATCAAAATAGGTGAAAACACTCAAACAATTGAGTGCAGGCAAAAGAAAATATAAGATACTTGAGGCAAAAAAAAAGAAAAAGAAGAAAAAAATCTAAAACACAAAAACAAACCCCCAAACCCTTAACTGTAAAGGAAAGAAAGGAAGAAAACTTAAAGCAAACTGTGGACCAAATTCTCACTCCTATTATTTCATGAGAAACAGTTTGAGAATTTGGCTTCAAATGACTAAAACAAAGCCAGGCATCTGGTGCACACCTGTACTACTGGTTACTTGGGAGGCTGAGGCAGGAGGATCGCCTGAGCCCAGGAGTTGGAGGCTGCAGTGAGCTATGAGTGCACCATGGCCCTCCAGCCTGGGAGACAAGAGTGACCCCATCTCAAAAAAAAAAAAAAATAATAAAATAAATAGTATACCAACTGCAGAAATAATCAATAGCAATGGCTGTACAGCTGGAAAAAAATTTTTACACATTTAACTATGTTAAAAAAAAATGTATCTTGGCCAGGCGGGGTGGCTCATGCCTGTAATCCTAGCACTCTGGGAGGCCGAGGTGGGTGGATCGTTTGAGCTCAGGAGTTTGAAATCAGCCTGAGCAAGAGCGAGACCCCGTCTCTACTAAAAAAATAGAAAGAAATGAATCAGACAACTAAAAATATATAGAAAAAACTAGCCGGGCATGGGGGCGCATGCCTGTAGTCCCAGCTACTCGAGAGGCTGAGGCAGGAGGATCGCTTGAGCCCATGAGGTTGCTGTGAGCTAGGATGATGCAACGGCACTCTAGCCCGGGCAACACAGTGAAACTCTGTCTCAAAAAAAAAAAAAATGTATCTTTTGGAAACCACAGTCTCCTTCACAAATTGCACTTGAGATGGCTGAATGCATTGATTGAGCAAGGCATTATTATTGGTTCACTGACATACACACACACAAACACAAAAGCAGCTACGGATTGTTGACATTCTTGACTACTAAAACTATTTTGTACATGTTTTTTTTTCCTCTCTCTCTAAAAGAAGGATCTGTGATGTCTGAGTTGTTAACAAAACAGTTAATAGTGAAACTTATGGTCTGTCTGCTTTGCTCTGTTGCTGGGGACCTGATGCCATCTGTTTTAACACTGTCTCTTAACTGTGTTTCTTGGTGGAAGATGGAGAAGTCTGATGGAAATATCAATCAAGTCAGTCTGAAAAAATATTCATTTCTGGAATTTTAAGATTTATCCTGACTAGGAAAGGGAGGCTCCTGCAAAAAAGATGGCTTCACTGACAAAGCTTACAAAATATAAAGAATACTAACAGTTTCAGTACTATCACTAACTCAAGAAAAATGACAAGTGAACTTCTGTGATGGACTTTTTTTTTAAGATAGAAAATGCTTTTCACAGACACTTCTCTCCAATAAATTAATTTTCTATAGAAAAACATAATTTGGAAGCAAGATGGTACTAAGAGATACAGCAAACTCAAAGAGCTGGGAAACTGTACACAGTTGCTTTAAAAAAGATTCTCTAAATAATGGGAAGAAGCATGTTAGAACTAACTTCAATGGAGATCTGAATGGTTCTACCTATCTCATATAAAAAGGTGAAAATTAGAAAACCACTATGAAAAATTATAATAGAACAGATGATTAAAAAGTGAGTGAATAAAAAAGACCCTACAGTTTATCTATTCCTTGAGCTAGAAAGATACTCTACAGTCTAAAAATGTAGTGATTGGATTTCTTATTTAACTGGTTTCCTTCTTTCAACTCCCTCCCTCTCTCTGCCTTCTTTCCTGAAAACTAAGAATCTATGTTAGTTTGGAAGTATAAGTCTAAAACCAAAGCAAATACCTGACTGCAGAAAAGAAAGTAAACAATAAAAAACTTGCATTAATAGTTCTTTATCCCTCTCACCAACAGGCAAAAAAAAAAAAAAAAAAAAAAAATCTCCAATCTTCACTACTTATCCCTTTGAAAAGGAAGGAACATCTTAAATTGAAACCAAGGTTCAACAGAGGTGAATTTAATTTTTCATGCAACTGAGTCTTAGATGTTAAAGACTTTAGTCTACATGATGCTTAAATCAATTAACACATTCTGTCAAATTATAAAACTGAGGTAATTACTACGTAATGTGGGAAATTGTGGAAAGAAACAATGAGACTGGAAGGATCAATCTTCAAAATTCACTTTGCTCAAAAAAAAGAAAAGAGTTACTGAACAAAAATATTTAGAAATAATGTTTCAGTGAGGAGAGGAAGGTTTAAATAGATTGAAGTGCTCTAGATATGTGGAAATGTGAAACAATTTTGGGAATCTGTTCTTCTGTGCCCTATGCAGTTCACCATTTTCACAAAGAGCCCTCAGCAGATTCAACAGTTGAATGAGCATATTTTTAGACACTGATAGTGGTCTCAGGCTGCCCCATCCAACAGGGAAAATGGTAAGTTTTCCAAAGTCCAGCTGCTTTTCAGATACGTACTAGACTCTGCTTGGCATGAGTCCAATGGATCCAGTCTCCTCAAGATCATCATGAGGAAAAATTGGCTTCTGCCTCTTACATCCTCCAACAGGAGGGCACATTTTCCATGGACCTCAGGCTCTTATTTGGAATAGGTCTACAAGGGGAAAAGAATATAGAAGAATGCCTGACCACTATCCAGCCATTATGGAGCTCTCTCTTATTTTAATCTCTCTTTAACCTTGACCTTTAGAATAATATGCTAAAGAAAGAAAAGGAAGGAAAAGAAAACACATTTACTGCCTATCCATATACTAGTACCAGCTTGCTGTGCTCAAATATTGGGGAGGTATCCTTATAGGTTCAGTAGCATTATGTTTACTAAAATTGCCCTTTAGAGTTTTCAGAAGAAGGCATCTGCTCCTTCCTCTGTGCTCTGAAACACATGTAGGCTGTATGCTGTTTATAGAACTGTCACACAGGAGTGATGACTGAGACAATTCCTGAATGCTGGACTTTGTTAAGCAAGGTGAAACATTACACACTTTAAAGTAATAAGAGGTTAATATAACATTACTGTCACAATTTAACTTTTCTTTGTATTACCACGATAGATGTTTCCTTTAAAAACAAATAGATTATGAGGCAATAAAGATAAACACTGGGAATTACTTGAGTCTCATTACTCAAGATCCCACTACAGATTAAAAAAAACAGGAAATATTGGGAACTGATGAACATCTGAACCTAAGAAATTAACAGAAAATAAAATCATGGAAACTCACAGCACTATAGACTATAATAAATGACAGATAATGAGCATTTATCTCTTTTACTAAAGGCACTACTAATATACACATATTCTGCTATTAATAACATTTAGAGAAACTTTAAAATCAACAGTTAGAGAAAGGAATCCATTTCATTCAATACCAGCGCTTTTAAAAACAAATAGATTACTTTAAGACTCATGGCAAAGTTTTCAATGATCTAAATGAAATCAGATATACTAATAAGCAACTCCATATAAAGACTGTGGTTCCTACTTTTAAAAAAGTATAACTTACTTCTTTAAAAATATATGCATATCACAAAAACTAAAGGATAAATATATATATAAAAAATAGGCCCTGGTACTGCTGAGAAATGTTCATAAATTCTAAAATAATTTCAACAGTTACAGCTTGAACAACATACATCCACACATGACATGCAAACAACAAATCCCAGCATCACTGAACAGTTCAGCATAAAGCTAAAAATACAGAACTAGAATGAAACAGGCAGTAAATAATGTACATCACAAACTGATGATTGTACCTGTATTATAGCACACCTGGGAAGTTAAAAAACATTTAGAACTTCTTCAGTCCCAGGAAGCACTACACATGGACCAACAATGGAGCTCTCATAAAAGGTCAAGTAAGCAAATAGAAGGCTATACAAAAGAATAACACAATTTATTTTAATTAACATGATTAATATTTTGTACTTTATTCTATTAGAAGATTAATGTGTAATCATTGTACCCTGTCAATTTTGAAACTTAGTTTTATTAGAAATGACTAATGCTGGTTCTGAATAATCTAAAAAATTATAAGTACTCAAATCTAGAATGCTATTTATAGTTCTAAGCATTTAGATGAAATATTCTGATCAGTATTCTAAAGTTGCTTTGGTACAAAATTTAGAATAAAGCAAAATTGGCAGCACCACAACAAGTGTGATCATTTCACAGCAGGTCTAAAGGACCCTCATAGACAACAAAGCATAAATTATTAATAAAATACACATAAGAGACGTTCTCCTGACAATTTTCTTACGTCATTGAAAAGAGAAACAAAATCCATATTCAGTAAATTATACTTGAGGCCCAATTTTCATGCTCCATTTAATTATTCCTCAATGATAATGTAAAAATGTTTATTATTATTGCTAATATGATGTCTAATTCATAGTTTAGGATGCTTCTACTGAAGAGGCCAATGATTAGAGTGGTACATTTTAATGTTTAGTCCACTGATATTATTTTAACACAAGGTTTAATTTAGTCTCTTTTTAAACAGATTTATTGAGGTATAATTGACGCATAACAAACTGCACATATTTAAAGTGCACAATTTGATACAGTCTTCTAAACAGCATGAAAAGTGCCTGGCAACTTAAAAAGGAAAAATTTCAATTTAGACATATTATTTTAAAATAGTACATTCTAATTTTTTATAAGACACAGGTATGGATTTATAAAAAGGTAGATGGAAAGAAAAGAATTAATTTAACTCCAAATACTAAACTTATTCAGAAGGTTTAGAAATGCCAAAATTGACAGCCAGTTTTCTTGATTTTCTTCTTGAAGAAGAGCTTGGTGTTGACTTATGGTGCGCCCTACTATGGCCTTGAGAAGTAGTTTCAACTTGAAAAGAAGATGCAGGTTGGGCAATTTGAGAGGACTTTAAGGAAGCTGATGAATTGTCCTGTGGAATTACTTTGGTGGTATCAGAAGAATCTGGCTGGCTAGTCTGAAGTGGGGTGGCTTGAGAAGAACTCTGGGCCTCCTTATTCTCAAAGTTCTTTTTGTTTGCAACCCTTTTTTTAGTAACCTTTAAGGAATAAAGGCATCACTAATTAACAATATAGGCGAAAAAAGCTAGTGCCAGAAAATACCATAAACCATGCTGCTAATATTTGTCAATCACTGCTTTGTGACTTCCATTTAAAATTTCCAAACCAGACTTTAGTAATCAAAGAATTTAGTTACAAACAAAATATTTAAAAATTCTCCATGTTCAATAATAAAAAAATTTATATTCCTGATTTTAAATCACTTTGTGTTAGAATAGCATATTATTATTTGCTATAATTATTATTATTTATTAGAACACAAACGCAGTAGGGACAGGTCAGACTTGTCACCATTTTATTATCAGTACCCAAACCAGTACTAGATTTCTAGTTGGCACTGAATAAGTAAATTGAATAAACAAATTTCTATCAATAGTCTTTGAGCATTTAAAAAATAATTCTCTTAAAAAATAATGAGTCTCGTTCCAGGTCTCACCTGCAGAGGTATGAACTGATTGTGCATACCACCTGGCATTCCTCCAGCCATGGGCATGGTCCCAGAATATAAAGTATGATGGAAGGGCTTCCCAGGAACTGGCACTGGTGGTCCCCATGGCATTGAGCCAAAGAGATGAGGTGATGAAGGCATTATATTAGCTGTTAAAAACCACAGAAAATTTTTCTCTTAGTAAAACAGTGTGTAGCATCAAAGCCCTGAAACGTAAGACCTCCTTCTGCTAGCCTTTTTGGGCTTCCCCACACACCCACCTTTGGCAAAAGGCCTAAACTTAACTCATAGTTACTCTTGCTTAGAACATTTAACCTCTGGAGCCCTTCTTAGGACTGTGAATTATCTATAGAAATGAATTTATCATTATGCAGGTCTGCAATGGACAATGAAACCATATGCTCATAAGAGCTTTAGAAATATTTGCAATTATATTTAAAAAAAAGTAAAAGGGTCATGAGACTGTCCCTTGGGAGAGAAAAGCCTGGGCACAAAGAAAGAAATCTTAAGGATCTCACCTGCCCCCAATGCTAAGTTGCTTCCATAGTGATCCCAGCCTACAAAAAAACCAAAAAAGCTCAAGTCCTGAAATCTGGTCACTTTCATTTGACATGTAGAATCTTTCTTTTCCTTATTCTAATATTTGTAATTCAAGGATTTTTTCATTTACATTTTGTTTCTTATTAAAAATATATTGAACCAATGGTTCCCAAACCTGATTTGTATATCTGAATCACCTGGGGAGCTTATGCAATACAGACTTCTGGCCAGGGCCTCAGAGATGGTAAATCCAGGCTTTGAGGGACCCTGGAATCTGTACAGTTAAGCTCCACAGGTGATTCTTATGCAGACAGTATGCATCAGTGTAGCATTTGGGAATTACTGCATTAAACAGTGACAATCAAGACACCAGCACATTGAAACTGAAGAAGATATGAACTATATTCAAGCCTTCTTTTCAGAGAGATAAAAAGCAGCCAGACCTATAAAATAGTATAGCTTAATTAAAATTCAGCCACTTAAGAAATTTTGGGATCAAAAGAATCATATTTTAGTGTTATGAATTACACATATACAAATTCCAGAATGAAGAAAATTTTTAGTATGAAAAATACTAGTTAGAAAACACTCATTAGAAAATTAGGTCTTGATATTACCTATAAGCAACTTTGGTGGGAGTGATAATGCTAAGAAGATCTATTTAAAAGATGCTATGCTAATCTTACATATAGGCCAACTCCACAATTTCCCCAATAAATCACTTAATAAATATAAAACTCAGGCCAGGCGCGATGGCTAATGCCTGTAATCCTAGCACTCTGGGAGGCTGAGGCGGGAGGATCGTTTGAGCTCAGGAGTTTGAGACCAGCCTGAGCAACAGTGAGACCCCATCTCTACCAAAAATAGAAAAATTAGCCTGGCAACATGGCGTGTGCCTGTAGTCCCAGCTACTCAGGAGGCTAAGGCAGGAGGATCCATTGAGCCCAGGAATTTGAGGTTGCTGTGAGCTACGATGATGCCACCACATTCTACCCACGGTGACAGAGTGAGACTGTCTCAAAAAAAAAAAAAAAATTTTATATATACATATATATATATATAAAAAACACATTTTCCTCCATACTAATTACTTAAAATTAACTTATATATAGTTCCTGGATTCATTTTTGAAAAAAAAAAGCAAATTAAATTTTACAAGTTATAGCGATATTACTACATTGAGTTATACAAAAACATCACCTCCATTATGTCATAAAAATTTTAGGACTAAAACATTGTTTATAGTCAAAGGAATGCCAGTGTAGTACAGTAACAAAAACATGGGCTTTGGAAACAGACAGACTTGGATTTTGAATGCCAGTTTGGCTACTTAGTAACTTTTAACCTCAGACAAATTACACATAAAAAAAAATCAAATTGCTATAGCAAGCCATTCTGGGAAACAATATGGCAATAGTTCATGAAATTAAAATAACATTGAGATTGGGAAAAAAAATCAAAGAACTATATACATATCGTACTAAAAAAGGTTTTCAACATAAAGCAGCAGCTACCTGTTCCACTCCAGATTTAACTGCTTTAGAAGTTTATTTCCATACTGTTCAATAATTTGCTTATGTTACTAGCTAGAGATTTATCATTTTTAGGCATTTCAACTTCCTATTAAGATAGACCAAAATTTAGTTCTTTTGCATTACCCCTTACTATAATACCAGCCCTGTCCTCCCAATGTAAGAATTATTATGACATTTGTCTAAATATATAGGCAGTGTTATGGCATGTGACTGTATAGATATCGTCACTGCAGAGCCAAGCAAGGTTCTCTGATTATGTTTCTTATCTTGTAAAACCTTTATTTTTTTAGAGACAGAGTCTTGTTCTGTTGCCCAGGCTGGAGTACAGTGGCCCAATCACAGCTCAGTGTAACCCTGAACTCCTGGGCTCAAGTGATTCTCCTGCCTTGGCCTCCCAAAGTGCTGTGATTACACTCGTGAGCCACTACACCTGGTCAAAACGTTTTGTTTTTATTTGAGTAAGTAACTATCTTTTTAAAAGCTGCTTAGTCTTCTATATACTATCCTTAATGTTTTTCCAAATGTTGCGCATCTATCAAATAACCTTCCTTACCTGCCAAGACTTCTTTCTGCTTCTCTAGTTGGGGCTAGTTACTTTCTACACGTATTGAGCAGCTGGCATCCTGGGATTTCCATTTATTGCATAACTATACGAGATCTTGTTTTGGTCTTATGGTTTTCTTTGCTTTTTTGAACTACTGCTTTGTTTTGCTGGAGCATATAATTCAGTAGCTTCTTAAGAAAGGGTATGTAAGAAATAAATTTGCAGGTCTGAAAATGTCTTTACCTTTGTGCTAGGATTCATAGTTTGGCTATACAGAGAAATCTAAGATGAAACTCATTCTATTTCAGGATTTTGAGGTAGTCAATACTTTCTAGTGTCTAGGCACTGTTAAATAGTGCAGTGCCATTCTGATTCTTGGTCTTTCACATGTACTGTATTTGCCCTCTTCTCTGAAGCTCTTTAGGACCATCTCTTTATCACTGGTATTCTGAATTTCAAGATAATCTGAGTCTTTTTTTATTCATTGTGCTAAGCACTTGGTGGCCCTTTTGGTTTAGGGATACATATCCTTTAGTTCTAGGAAACTTTGTTGTCTTATTTCTTTGATAATTTCTTCCTTTCCATTATGTCAGATCTTTTTTTGTGGAACTACAATAAGATAGCTGCTGGATCTGGATTTGTGCACTGTTCCTCTAAACCTCTGTTCTTTTTTTGAGACAGGGTCTTCTTGCTCAGTAGCCCAGGCTGGACAGCAGTGGTACAATCATAGCTCACTGCAGCCTCCAACTCCTGAGCTCAAGCAATCCTACTGCCTTAGCCTCCCTAGGAGCTGGAACTGCAGGCCTGTGCCACCATGCCAGGCTAATTTTTTTTTATTTTTTGCAGAGATGGAGTCTCACTGTATTGCTCAGGCTGGTCTCGAACTCCTGGCCTCAAGTAATCCTCCGACCTTGGCCTCCCAAAGTGCTGGGATTATCGGCATAAGCCATCACATTCGGCCTGTCTCTTCCTTATTTTCTAGCTTTTGTCTCCCTTAGCTTTGCTATGGCTTCATCTACTACATTTTAAAATTTGACTGAACAATTTTATTTGTTCTCCAATTATTCTTTTTTCATAGAATCTTGTTTTTATTTTTTGGTTGCAATACTGTTTTATTTCACTGATGATATTAATTACAGGTGTTTTTGAAGTTTTCTTGTTTCGTATATTATCTGTTTCCAGACCTTTTTAATTTCTTTTTGTTTTGGGCTCTCTCTTTGATTTTCACATATTTTCCTTTAATGTTGAGTGATCACAGTCTAGTGACATGAAAGAGGGAGACACTAAAACTGTGATTAGAAGAAGTGTCTATGTGGGGAGGGAGCAGGGCTAGATGATTTGAGGTCTTCACTCTAAGATGACTGACAAGTGAGCCAGCCTTTTGGTTGGGACACTCCAAAAGTCAGTAGGTCTTTTCTTTGGAGGTCAATGAATTTTTCAAAAGGACTATCCTCCAATTTCCTATGAAAAGGTATGGCGTGGCTACAATCAAAGAATAGGAAGGGGAAAAAAGAGAACTTTTCTTTAACCTCTGTCTTCAGTCTAGTATTTCATTCTCTACTCTGTGCCTGGTGTCCCCATATCTAGAGAGCCCCTCCAGAGAAAACATGTCCAGTCTTTTGTGTGAAGAGGCAACTGCTTGTTGTGGGGAAGGGATGAGGAGGTGGTCCCATTACTCCACATACAGACTTTCAACCAGTCTCTCTCTTTTCAGCCTGTGCCTCATCTTTGCCTTCTCTGATAGTTTCTGATATCTTCTCTCACAGTTCAGAATCTCTTGGGAACTGAGGAACAATCTGTTTATCAGCTCACTTGTAACCTCTTCCACAGGTACTTTACTTTGTAGCTTGACCATGCTCTGCCAAATTGGTTACTTCTTTGTTTTTTCATCGCAAACTCTTTTCAAATTTGTTGATATTTCTTCTCCTATCTCTTTGCCCTTATAGGTATACACTTTTTAAGTCCTTTATTATTCAGTTTAATGGAATTAAAGGAGAAGAGATAACTGCATATTGTACATTTAATCAGTATTATTAGCCTTTCTAATATTTATAGTAAGGATAAGTTCTAGGATATTATTCCTAGAATAATACCTGGTAATACTGTAGCCTCAGAAAAGTAATTTTCTAAACTTAAATAAACTTTTGGCTTTAAAACAATAATAAGATATAGAGAAGCCAACTGTTATCAGGAAAAAGGCTGAATGATAAAAGAAATATCTAATAAACATAAGATTTAGAATCATAAAATTATACAATATTAGTCTCAAAGAGATCCTGGACACAGTATAATACAAATACGAAAATAGCGTCCCAAAGAAGTTACATGATGTTTTTACTGCCTGTGTTTTTGATGTCTAACTTAAACCTAAATTCATCTGTTGGCGGCTGCTGGGGAATAAGGCCCTCCCCACTACAAAGAAACTCCTTACTACTCTAGCCATACCAGAGGTTGTAGGAGGAGAATGGTATTTCTAGATGAATCTGCAAGCCTTGGCTTCAGACTTACTTCTCACAATCTCTTCTTACATTCCTAGACATCTGAATAAATTTTTTGATTTCTTAAAAATGATGCTTCTTAAAAGAACTCAGTAAAAATAACAACTCAATGACAAATCCTTAGAAAAGCAAAATATCTTACCAGTGGGTTGAGGAAAAACTGGAGGAATGCTTCTGGGTGGTATGGCAGAAGGATAATTTGGAAACATTGGTGAAGGCAAAGGGAAATTCACTCCTAAGGAGCCCTGTGGAAGTATTTAAAAGTTATAAGACAATGTAACAAAAACTTTTAATAGAGACTAATTTAAAATTTAATAGAGAAGTCATGGACAGTTCTTACCAATTGTTGTAAAGCAAAAAGTGCAGCTTTCTCCTTGGCTTCATTTTCAGAGTGGCACTGTGGCCCATGTACCAGTAAGCCATTAGATAACTTTACCTGGCAAACAGTCATTGTCTAAAAATAAAGAATATAGATGTCTATGAAATTATCTGTCTAGGAAGTTGACCTCTTCCCAAAGTTTAGTCTAAATAAGTAGAATAATTCCATCTGATATTCTGAAAAAAAGAATTCAAGAATTTAAAAATGTCTTTCAGTTTAAGTTTTGGGTTGCCATGCAAAATTTTAAAATTGTTGCTCTATCTTTTAATGTTTACAAAATAAAATGCTCTCTAAACTGGCTGAAGGGTTAGACATCCTGATGCAAATAAAAGCCAGCAAAATGTTTTTCTGGGTTTTCAGTTGACAAACTAAGAGTTACCTCTCTTTTGGTATTAATAAATAAAGTTTATTGGAACTTAGTCACATTCATTCTTAAAGCTTACTTTCACACTCTAATTGTAGGGTTGAGAAGTTGTGATAGAGAACATGTCACCCACACAGCCTAAAATATTTACTATCTGACTCTCCACAGAAAAAAATTTGCTGACTCATAATTTATACCCATCCTGTAATTAGCAAATATTTGCTAACATGAATTAATTGCCAAATCTAGAAGACTCAGGTTCTGACTGATTTTATATTCATATTTAAATTATATTAATAACTCTTTATATTCAGTTTAATTTTTTTATTTTATGAAAAAGATTTTTAAAAAAATCCCATTTTTTAAAAGGTAGCCATTTTTATGTATATTACTAGTTTAACTGTTATTATTTTCTGCAAATTTTTTTATTGTGGTAAAATACACATAAAATTTACCATTTTAATAATAAGTGGTTCAGTAGTATTAAATACATTCAAAATTTTTTACACATCCATTACCACCATCCATCTCCATTACTTTTTCCATCTTATAAAACTGAAACTCTGTCGTTTTGAGGTAAGTCCCATCTATGCCTATTTTGTTAAGCATTCTTAGCATAAAAGGGTGCTGAATTTTGTCAAATGCTTTTTCTGCATCTACTGAGAGTATTATATGGTCTTTATTTTTACTTCTATTTATGTGGTGAATTACATTTATAGATTTGTATATGTTGAACGATCCCTGCATCCCTGGGATGAAGCTCACTTGGTCGTGATGGATTATTTTTTGATGAGCAGATGAATTCAGTTTGTTAGGATTTCTATTGAGAATTTTAGCATCTATATTCATAAGGGATATTGGTCTGTAGTTTTCTTTTTTTGTTGAGTCCTTTCCTGGCTTTAGTATTAAGGTGATGTTGGCTTCATAAAACGTGTTGGGGAGGATTCCTTCCTTCTTGATGCTGTGGAATAATTTCTGTAGGATAGGTATCAGTTCTTCTTTGTAGGTCAGGTAAAATTTGGGTATGAAACCATCTGGTCCAGTACTTGGGTTTTTTTTTAGAAGATTTTTTATTACTATTTCAATTTTGGTACTTGACGTTGGTCTGTTCAGGAATTCTATTTCTTCCTGATTGAGCCTAGGGAGGCTGTATGTTTGTTAAGAATTTGTCCATTTCCTCCATGTTTTCAAGTTTATGTGCATAGAGATTTTTATAGTATTCAGAGATGATATTTTGTATTTCCATGGTATCAGTTGTAATTTCTCCTTTTTCAATCCTGATTTGAGCTTATTAGAATCCTTCCTTTTCTGCTTCTGGTTAATCTAGCAAGAGGCCTGCCAATTTTGTTTATCTTCTCGAAGAACCAACTTTTTGTTTCATTAATCTTCTGTATAGTTCTTTTGTTATTGATTTTATTTAGTTCTGATCTGATCTTGGTTATTTTTTTTCTTCTGCTGGGTTTGGAATTGGTTTGCTCATCCTTTTCCAGTTCTCTAAGATGATTCATTAGATTGCTGATTTGTGATCTTCCTGTCTTTTGGGTGCAGGCATTTATGGCTATGAATTTTATTCTCAGGACTGCTTTAGCTGCATCCCATGGATTTTGATAACTTGTGTCCGCTTTATCATTTAGTTCAAAAAATCTTTTGGTTTCCATCTTAATTTCCTCCTTCACCTATCATTCAGCAGTAGGTTGTTTCGTTTCCATGACTTTGTGTAGAGATGTGTGTTTCTGTTGGAGTTGACTTTTAATTTTATTCCACTATGGTCTGAGAAGATGCATGGTATAGTTTCTATTTTTTAAAAATTTGTTGAGACATGTTTTATGGCCTAGGATGCAATCAGTCTTAGAGAATGAATCATGAGCTGTAGAGAAGAACGTATGTTCAGTGGTTTTTGGGTAGAATGTTCTGCAAACGTCTGTTAGACCCACTTGTTCTAAAGTTCTGTTCAAATCCATTGTTTATTTGCTTATTTTCTATTTGGAGGATTTGTCCTATTCTATCAGAGAGGTGTTGAAGTCCCCAGTTATTACGATGCTGCTGTTTATTTTGTTTAGATCAAGTAGGATTTGCTTTATGAATCTGGGCATACCACTGTTAGATGTGTAAATATTTAGAATTGTTATGTCTTCTCATTGAATTGTCCCCTTTACCATTACATAATGACCATCTTTGTCTTTCATTACTTTTGTTGATTTGAAGACTATATTATCTGATATGAGAACCATTATATCAGCTTTCTTGGTTTCTATTTGTGTGGAATATTGTTTTTCATCCCTTCACCTTGAGTCTGAATGAGTCCTTGTTGGTTAGATGCGTTTCCTGGAGACGGGAGATACTTGGCTTGTATTTATTTATCCATTCAGCCATTGAATGGAGTCTCTTCAGTGGGGAGTTTAAGCCATTCACATTTATCCAAAGAATAGATAAGTGGGGTGGTTTTCTGTTCATCCTGTTGAGTAGAACTTTGTTGCTTTGTTTTCCCTTTTGAGCTATTGTGGTATCTGGCCTTTGACCTTTAGCTTTTGGATAATTTTACACTGGTGAATGTCTACTGTGTTGATCCATGTGTAATGCAGTTCTGAGTAGTTCCTTCAGGGCAGAGCTTGTCTTGACAAATACCTTCAGAGTTTGCTTTTCTGAGAATGTCTTTATTTCTCCCTCATATATAAAATTTAGTTTTGCAGGATACAAGATTCTAGCCTGGCCATTATGTTTGACAAGACTGAGAATCAGCCCAGTCCCTTCTAGCTTGTAAGTTCTCAGTTGAAAAGTCCACATTTAGTCAGATGGGGTTTCCTTTGTAAGTTACCTGATGCTTTCACCTTACGGCTTGTAGGAGTGCTCTTTCATGTTTATTTTGTCCAGTGTGATGACTATGTGTCCTGGTGTTTGCCTCTTTGTGATGAATCTCCCCGGAGTCCTTTGAGCCTCTCATATCTGGATATCTAGATTTCTAGCATGGCCAGGGAAATTTTCCTCAATTATTCCTTCAGGTAGGGTTTTCAACCCTTGTGTATTTTCTTGTTCACTCTCAGGGGTGCCTACGATTCTTATGTTAGGCCTCTTTACATAATCCTATACTTCTTGTAGGCTTTGCTCTTTTCTCTTATTTCTGTGCTCTCTGTGACTGAATTGATGAATTGAAAGGTGTTGTCTTCAAGCTCTGAGATTCTTTCTTCTGCCTGACCTAACCTATTTTTAAGGCTTTCCACTGTGTATTATAAATCTTTGAATCAGTTTTTCATTATCATAAGTTCTGATTTATTTTTCTTTAATAATTACATTTCCTAAGTGAATTTTTCATTGATTTCCTGCATGGTTTTGTGGTTTCTTTGTGTTGGGTTTATATTTTATCTTGCATTTCATTGAGTTTCCTTAAAATCCACGTTTGAAATTCTTCATTTGTCATTTTAATATTCCGGTTTTGGTTGGTATCCAATGCTAGAGAGATTGTTGTGTTCCCTTTTGGGGGTATCCTTTCACTTTGATTCTTCATGCTTCTGGAGTTCTTTTGCTGATTCCTTCTCATCTGGATTGCTGTTGCTTCTTACTTTTGGATTTTCTTTTGTTTAGATAATGACATGCCCAGTTTAATCTCTGAGCCAGTAGGTGGTGCTTGTGGGTGAGAATCAACCATACCCTGCACAACTGAGTCAGTAAATGCAGTAAAAGGGCATGAAAATTGACCTCCCTGTCAGTATGTGGCACTTGCCAGAAGGAACGAGCAGCAATGTTGGTTTTGGATCCTGTGACCAGCTCTAGTTCCTCAGGAGAAGCACTCTAATTCTCCAGGTTGTGGGTGGGGCCCTGAACTTCCAGGTGAGTCTTATTCTCCACCAGAGCAGAGGCGGGTGGGGGACTGAGGTTGGGCAGAGCTGGGTTAGGTGAGCCTGCCCTCAAGCTCCATAAACGCTGGCAAGGGATCTGCTTTGGCAGAGGTCAAAGGTCTACTCCCTACCTCTGGGCAAAGCTGCCAGGGAGGGGCTGAAATGGCCCCACTCATCCAGAAAGTCTGTATATGGAGGTTGGCTGTCTGAGACCCACAATTCAGCAGTCTATAGCAGGCCTTATTCCTTTCCAAGCTTCCTATAATCCGCGGTTTCTCCCAGGCCTCTGCCAGCATATACAACAAACTCACAGCCAACATCGTACTGAATGGGGGAAAAACTGAAAGCATTCCTGCTTAGAACTGGAACCAGACAAGATTGCCCTCTATCACCATTTCTAGTCAACATAGTGCTGGAAGTCCTAGCCAGAGCAATCAGACAGGAAAAGGAAATCAAGGGTATCCAAATGGTGGCAGAAGAGGTCAAACTATCACTCTTTACTGATGATATGATCTTATATCTAGAAAACCTCAAAGATTCTGCCAAGGGACTACTGGAATTGGTAAATACATTCAGCAAAGTCTCAAGGTACAAAATCAATGTACACAAATCAGTAGCATTCATATACGTCAACAGTCAAGCTAAGAACCAAATCAAAGACTCAATACCTTTCATAATAGCATCAAAGAAAATAAAATACCTAGGAATATATTTAACTAAGGAGGTGAAAGACCTCTACAGGAAGAACTACAAAACACTAAGGAAGGAAATAGCAGAGGACATAAACAGATGGAAAACCATACAATGCTCATGCATTGGCAGAACAAATACCGTTAAAATGTCTATACTACCCAAAGTGATCTACAGATTCAGTGCAATCCCTATTAAAATATGAAAATCATTTTTCACAGATCTAGGAAAAATAACTCTATGCTTCATACGGAACCAGAGAAGACCCCATATAGCAAAAGCAACCTTAAGCAAAAAGAACAAATTGGGAGGCATCAGTTTACTAGACTTCAAGCTATACTACAAGGCTATAGTAACCAAAACATCATGGTACTGGCACAAGAACAGAGACACAGACCAATGGATCAGAACAGAGAACCCAGATATAGAACCATCCTCATATTACCATCTGATCTTTGACAAAGCAGACAAAAACATACACTGGAAAAAAGAATACCTATTTAATAAACGGTGCTGAGAAATTTGGATAGCCACATGTAGAAGACTGAAACAGGATCCACACCTCTCACCACTCACAAAAATCAGCTCATCATGGATAACAGACTTAAACCTAATGCATGAAATCATAAGAATTCTAGAAGAAAATGTTGGCAAAACTCTTATACACATCGGCCTAGTCAAAGAATTTAGGAAGAAGACCCCAAAAGCAATCATAGCAATAACAAAAATAAATAAATGGGACCTAATCAAATTAAAAAGCATCTGCACAGCCAGGTAAACTATCATTAGAGTGAACAGACAACCTACAGAATGGGAGAAAATATTTGCATGCTATATATCTGATAAAGGGCTGATAACTAGAATTGATACAGAACTCAGGAAAATCAGCAAGAAAAAAAATCAAATAACCCCATTAAAAAGTGGGTAAAGGACATGAACAGAAACTTTTCAAAAGACAGACTAATGGCCTACAAACATGAAAAAATGCTCAACATCTCTAATCATCAGGGAGATGCAAATCAAAACCACGAGATATCACTTAACTCCAGTGAGAATCGCTTTTATCAAAAAGCCCCAAAGCAACAAATGTTGGTGTGGATGCAGAGAGATAGGACCATTCATATACTGCTGGTGGGACTGCAAACTAGTACAACCTCTATGGAAAGTAAAATGGAGATACCTAAAGAACTAAAAGTAGAACTACCATTTGATCCAGCAATCCCTATACTGGTATCTACCCAAAGGAAAAAAACACATTGTATAAAAAAGATATCTGCACTCGAATGTTTATAGCAGCACAATTCACAATTGCAAAGATGTGGAAACAACCCCAGTGCCCATCAATCCATGAGTGGATTAATAAAATGTGGTATATGTATACCATGGAGTACTACTCAGCTATAAAAAAAATAGTGAATTGATACCTCTTGTATTATCCTGGATTGAGCTGGAGCCCACTCTTCTAAGTGAAGTACAACAAGAATGGAAAAACAACCGCCACACATACTCACCATTAGATTGGTACTTATTGATCAAAACTTATGTGCACATACGGAAGTAACATTTATCAGGTGTCAGGAAGGTGGGGAGGAGGAGGGGATGGGTAAACACACCTAATGAGTGTGGTGCGCACTGTCTGGGGGATGGGCATGCTTGTAGCTCTGAGTTGGGTGGTGCAAAGGCAATTTACGTAAACCAAAGCATTTGTACTCCCATAATGTTCTGAAATTAAAAAAAAAACAAAACTGAACTCTATACCCAATAAACAATAACTACCCACTTCCTCCTTCTCCCAATCCCTGGCAAACGCTATTCTACTATTCTACTGCCCATTTCTGTGATTCCAACTGTTTTAAATACTTATATAAGTGGAATCATACAATGTGTGTCTTTTTGTGGCTGGTTTATTTCATCTATCATAAAGCCCTCAAGGTTCATCCATGTTGTAGTATATGTTAGAATTTCCTTCCTTTTTAAGGCTCAATAATATTCCAATGTATGCGTATACCACATCTTGCTTATCCATTTATCCTTCTACATTTTAGCTGTTTTGAATAATGCTGCTATGATCATGGGTGTACAAATATGTCTTTGAGACTGTGTTTTCAATTCTTTTGGGTATATACACACGAGTGGAATATTCGATCACAGGGTAATTCTATTTTTAATTTTTTGAGGAACCACCATACTGTTTTCCATAGCACCTGTACCATTTTACATTCCCACAAACTATGTACAAGGGTTCTAGTTTCTCCATAATTTCACCAACACTTACCTTTTTTTGTTTTTTTTTTGATAGTAGCCACTCCAGTGGGTGTGAGGTGATATCTCATTGTGGATCTGATTTGCGTTTCTCCAATGATGAGGGATGTTGCATATCTTTTCATGTGCTTCTTGGCCATTTGTATGTCTTTTTTGAAGAAATGTCTACTCAAGACCTTTGCCCATTTTTACATTGGGGTTTTTTGTTGTTGAGTTTTAGGAGTTCTCTATATATTCTGGATATTAATTCCTTATTAGATATATCATTAGGAAATATTTTCTCCCATTGTATGGTTTGCCTTTTTTACTCTCTTGTTATTATCTTTTGATGTGTAAAATTTTAAAATTTTCATTAAGTCCAATTTTTCTATTTTTTTCTTTTGTTGCCTATGCGTTTGGTCTCATATCCACGAAATCACTGCCAAATCTAATGTTGTAAAAATTTTGCCTTATTGGCAGGGCATAGTGGCTCATGTCTGTAATCCTAGCACTCTGGGAGGCAGAGGCGGGTGGATTGTTTGAGCTCAGGAGTTCGAGACCAGTCTGAGAAAGAGCAAGACCCCGTCTCTACTAAAAATAGAAAGAAATTAGCTAGACAACTAAAAATACATATAGAAAAAATTAGCCGAGCATGGTGGAGCATGCCTGTAGTCCCAGCTACTCGGGAGGCTGAGGCAGTAGGATCGCTCGAGCCCAGGAGTCTGAGGTTGCTGTGAGCTAGACTGACGCCTCGGCACTCTAGCCTGGACAACAGAGCGAGACTCTGTCTCAAAAAAAAAAAAAAAAAATAACTCAAATTGGGTCACAGACCTAAATATAAGACCTAAAACTGTAAAACTCTTAGAAGAAAATATAGGGAAAAATTTTTTTTTTTTTTTTGAGACAGAGTCTGTGTTGCCCGGGCTAGAGTGCCGTGGTGTCATCCTAGCTCACAGCAACCTCAGACTCCTGGGCTCGAGCGATCCTCCTGCCTCAGCCTCCCGAGTAGCTGGGACTACAGGCATGCTCCCCATGCTCGGCTAATTTTTTCTATATGTATTTTTAGTTGTCCAGCTAATTTCTTTCTATTTTTAGTAGAGACGGGGTCTTGCTCTTTCTCAGACTGGTCTCGAACTCCTGAATGATCCTCTTGCCTTGGCCTTCCAGAGTACTAGGATTACAAGTGTGAGCCATCATGCCTGGCCAAAAAAACCCACTATTTTCATAATAATATTAAGATGCTACTTGCCCTGTTTCTCATTGCCTTTTCTCATTTGTCATTTTCTTATAAGTATACAGAAGACAAAAAGTTCACTGATACAGTTTCAGATTTCATACTGTAGCTAATCTTAAAGAAAATACTACTTTTTAGTGTAGTATCAAAGAATAGCCATAACTATCTGAAAATGCTATTAAAATTCTCCTCCTTTTCCCAACTATGTATCTCAGGCCATGTATTTATACCAAAACAACATATCACAAGAGAGTAAGAGTCTAGTGGTGGAAAAGATTTTAAAAATGTAGAGCAATACCACTCTTCTCACTAAAATTTTTGGAAAAGTCATTTTTAATAGACAATGAATTAAATAAACATTGAATTTTTTCAATGTTAATTTCTAATATAGTAAATATGGACATAACAGAAGTAAATAAAAGTTCTTTGGGGTCCTCCAAAAAAGGGGGGGAGTTTCTGAGACCAAAAAATTTGAAAACCGCTACTGTAGATCAAGATCTCTATCTCTGTTAGTCTGAAGAATCTTGCCAGGCTACTTGCTGCCCAGGTTCATGTCTGTCAGCCTATCTGAGGGCTCTGGTTATGTATAAATGGAATAGCCAGAGTGAGAAGGATAATATCCTGCTTATGACATTTTAAAAAATCACCCCCATTGTATTTTTTTCCTAGCCACATATTTCCATTCAAGATTTTATTTAAGCTAGAGTTGAAGAATTTATATAAATGGAACAGTAGTATACTATACCTGTGGTGTCCTAAGAAAGGAGAAATCTGGTTGTGGCATTCCAGCAAGGGAACAAATTCGAGAAAGTTCAGTTACCGGTGTGGACAAAGGAGGGATCTGGCTGGGAGCAGGCCAACACACACTGTCCATAGACTGAACATTATGGTACTCATTAGCACTGTGAGGGTGGTTCACATAAGATGCTACCAAAAAAAAGAGAAGAGGATATATCTATATTAATAAAATAATATCTTGAATTATGTACATAATTGTGAGGTTTTATAAAAGAACAAGCAGGAAATTGCTATAAGATGAAAAAATGAATCGTCCATGAAGCAAATATAAGAACTATTTAGTAATGCTTAAAATTACTGAGATTTCAATAAAGAGTTTTAGATGATTATAGCTGATTAATGATAAATTATTATTGTTATTATTTTTTAGAGAGACAGTCTTGCTCTGTCACCCAGGCTGGAGTGCAGTGTCATGATCGTAGCTCACTGTAACCTTGAACTCCTGTGTTCAAGCAATTCTTTCATCTCAGCCTTCTGAATAGCTAGGACCACAGGCACATGCCACTAACCTGGCTACTTTTCTTTTTTTTTGGTAGAGATAGGGGTCTCTCTATGTTGCCCAGGCTGGTCTTGAACTCCTGATTTCAAGTGATCCTCCTGCCTCAGCCTCCCAAAGTGCTAGGATTATAGGCATGAGCCATTGCACCCACCATGTCTGGCCAATGATGAATTATTAAGATAAAGATTTTAAAATATGGTAAGTAGTTGACTGTCAAAAATTAAAATTTTGAGCAATTAATGACTATATGGTATTGTTTCAGGTAAAATTTGAACAAGCAAATGGTTTTCTTGAAGCTGATTTACAATTAATCCTTAAGTTTTCAGGTTTTGGCTTCTGTTTCAATTCTTGCAATTCCATCTTACATTCTGAGACACATGGGTTATTATCTTTGTTGCTCCAAAATGATGCTTCTTAAAAATTTTTCTGAAATTAAATCTTCTAAGTGTTTTTATATAAAAGATGATTTAAAAATTCTGAATGTTCACACATTTTATGATCAACAAACTTACTAACAGAATAAGAGCATACTTTAGTAAAGAATTAATCCAGGCCGGGCGCGGTGGCTCACGCCTGTAATCCTAGCACTCTGGGAGGCCGAGGCTGGCGGATTGTTTGAGCTCTGGAGTTTGAAACCAGCCTGAGCAAGAGCGAGACCC